ACACAAATATTGACTTTTAAAGTGTTAAATTGTAAACTGTTGAAGAAACATTAAACCGACATAAACCGTCAAAAATAAAGCCAAAAAAACTAGATAAGCATCAACAACAGTAACACTATTGCCGATAATTATTAAACTATATAAGCCATCTCATGTCAAATCACATACTTTTTTCCCTTCCTTTATGCCTCAAATTTTTTGAATTTCGTTGATTATTAGAGTCTAGAGTAGTATACAAAAAACCGAAAAAAACCCTAGGAAAGTGCTCCTTAAAAAAAAAGCCTCCCGGCCAATTCCACCACTTCCAGGTTGCAGAATTTGTCAGGTTGTCGCCTGAAATGCTCACCTTAGCAACCCTGTAATTTAGCCTCTCTGTAATAAAATTCAATAATTTCTTCAACAGACTTTTTTTGCAACAGATTCAACAAATATCCTAAACTTTTTAAAGCATATTAAGTAATTAAATCCTGCTTCAAAACATCATAGATACAGTTTAAACAAGAATTTAAAAAAAAAAACATTTAAAAAAATTGTATAAAATTTTTTTGTATAAAGTTTTTTTGTATAAATATAAATTTTTATATTTTTTTTCCTGTATAAAATTTCTTGCTTTAAAACATATCAAAATTTGAAAGTGGCAATTTTTTGGTATTAAGACCTACGAGCTAGAATTGAATGTAAAACTGACGAAAACCCACTATTTTTACAGTGATCTCGTATATTTTATATGACGAAGCCGTTCTGAGCTTGCTGTAAAGAATTGGTACGCTTTAAAAGTTGAAAGTTTGTTCGAAAAGTTGTACTTTACTTTAATAATATCAAAAAATTATTATTCCACAGAGTTTTAAAAAACACTCTTCACTCTACGGTTTTCCACTTTTTGCATCTTGTGGTTCCTGAGCTCTTGAAATTCCTCCATCTTGTGCTCGTTAAAGTTTCGGTTGCACTAAAGAATAGAAGCCTGAATTATTGATCTTTCATGAAATTATATGCTGAAGTTTTCCAAAACCATAAAAAGTCTTAAGAAACTCCTAATCCAACAGCTATTCAGTTAAAGCGGTGAATTTTTAGAACTCCTTGCGACGCCAAAATGTATACTACCTCCATAATATAAAACACGAGAAGCATAAAACTCTGGAGAAAAAGCTATCGCTTAGAACTCTGCAGAATAATAATATGGTAATAGTATTCAAGCAGAGTACAACTTTTTTAACAAATTTTTAACGTTCAAAGCATACTGAACTTTTGCAGCCGCTCGCTGTGGCCTTCAGAAGCGGTTCCGGACGGTTCCGCCGCTGTGGGTTTTTTCCAGTTAAACATTTCATTCCGGCTCATAGTTCTCGATATCTCAAAATCTTCTTTAATAAATTTTGGTAGGTTGCAGAGCAAAAAATTCTACACTAGATATGTCCTTTTTTTAAAAAGTTTAAAAATTTGTTTTTTTCTTAATGTTCGTGTGAAGTCTTGTTTTCATTGCCTCCAAGTGATTTTTACCGGCATTAAAACATCTAGTACGATTTTAAAGGGTTTCAGGAAATTAGAAATCTGCTGAACAAAAATCACTAAGTTCTATTGAGAACAACCCAAATTACAAGTCCGCAAAAGAGGAGCACGTCAAGCGACGACCTGGCAAATTTTATAACTTGGAGAAGGCGGAAGTTGACGGAGAACTCACTTTTCTAGATTTGTTCCGGCTTTCTGTATACTGGCCCAGAACAAAATTTTAAAGAAATGAAGGGGACAAAGAGTGCCATTTGGCATGAAATGGCCTATATGTATTCTTTTTTTTTTAATAATTTACTGGCCAAATAGTAAGTGAAGCATATTAATGTCGAAAATCAGCGGCATTTATTTTCATCCATCAATTATATTTGCAAAAAATAAAATGATAAAATAATACTGCAAACAGTATCACGTTTTTGTACAAGTAATCCGCAGTTTATTATAAAAATTCATTTGGTAGATCATCGATGTATAAAGAAATGCAAACACACAAAAAGCTTACAATACCCCTGAAATGTCTAAACAATTTTCATTGAAACAATTGTTAATTAGTGTAACCAACAACCGCTTTTTTAATTTATCTACTGTTATAGTTCGGTCTACAAGATATCCAAATTTATTGTTTCTAAAGAAAAGAAAAAAACAAAAGTAGGGTATGATTGCCGACAGATTCACAGAGACAGTGATGGTGGAATTCTGAAATTAATGGTATCAGAAAAAAAAACCAATCATCTCGGTTTTCATTTCAATCACTTCATGTGATCTGTCACCAATTGCTCTTACAGATGGTTTCAGTGTGCTTGCGCCTTACTTTTAATGCTTTGTTAAATTTTTTGAGAAAATTTCCCTAAAAACTATCACACTTGATACCCAAACCTGTCATATGGGTGAAGCAACTAAATAAAAAATAAATCTGACATTCTAGCAATTATTCACCATCAGTATCCAAAACATCGGGTCAAAAGAGTTTGCTGAAGAAACACAGCAATATAAATAAAAAAAAAAGAACCGTAACAATAATTTTTTTCCTTTAAAAAATTCATGCAAATAACTCAGCAGCGAAAAATTTGTTACCAAATATCTGTTATTAAACTAGCTAAACTAAAAAGCATTCCAGTTTAATATTTCTTTTAATAAAAAATAGACGTTGTCATTTGAAGTGACAAGAAAATACTGCGTAAACTAAAATTTTTTTGCAGTCTAGTCACGTCATAATTTGTGATACCGTAATAATATCGCCTTATAGCTTCAGTATTTTACACAAGAATTATGGCTTCAAAAGTCATATTCAGAAATTTGAAACAATTTTATTAGGAAAAATAAATTTCAACTTTTGCTTCTATTCTAATCTTTAATGCAATTTGTCATACTCCACCATTTTTCTGATTGTACAGGAGACAAGATTGCAAAATGAAGAGAAAGCTGCAAAAAACGATCGTGAATAGACAAAACTACAAGTTCTGAAAATGTGACTGTATTTAACAAAAACCATTTTCTCTTCTGCATTTCAAAACAGTAACTTTAGCATCAACTGTTCTTTCGAGATACTTTTTTTTTTTTCATTCCGCAATCTACAGTCAAGTGGTTTATAAAAAAATCCAAATGGCTGACTAATAAATGTGTGCTATTTGATTGCTCAAAATGTGCTTGGAATCGCAGTCAAAAATCCAATGGCAGCTAATGATTTCTGGTAAGTCAGAACATGAGCGAATTTTAACATCACTCAGTTAATCATAAATTAAATCATAAATTACCTGCTCATCCTATATCGAGCCGATCACAAGTTCCAGCTCTGAACGAACTAGGGCAAAAAACAAATTGAATACAATCAATATACGAGAACCAAACAATAGTCTTACTTTTCCACACCCCCCTAAGATATGTACCAAGCGGATAAATACTTCATTACCAACGAAACGCAGAAAAATCAACGAACACTGCCGACACCTTACTCAAACTGTGAACTCTTGACTCCTTCACAGAAACTGACGCAAAAAACAAAGGCAAATGAACTAATACTGGCTGCCAACAGAAAAAAATATTCAAAGGCAAAGAAGGGAACAGAGCCAATATACATCTATCTCACCCGGTCCAACAACTCAAGCTTTTTACGATTTCGTCCCACCTGGCTACCGCCACGCACTTTGTGACCCAGCCTTCTCTTCTTCACCAGAAGTAATATCCGTTTCACCGAATCTGTACAATCGTCATTAAAATTTTGCTTGAAGCTGTATAACATGATCTGCCAAATTACTGCAAAAAAAATAATGTTCTTTTTATTCTTTCTCAATTTATATGCACCTGTACGCTGCTATTACAACTTATACAAAACGTGGACACAACAGGGTAAAAACAGTGTTTCAAAAATGTATTAAAAACAAAATGCAGAGAAAAAGCAGAAAAAAAGAAAATCAGATAACGACTACACAGAAAGCGTACAAGCTTGTCAGATTAAAAAAAAAACACACACACACACAAGAGCGAAGCAAAATGAAAAATAAAACAAAAGTCTGTAACCAATTTCTGCTAAAATTTCACGTAAACCTCCTCTTTCAAATATTATATATAAATATATGGTATAGTAAGTACACATATAAAGATGTAAACAAAAAAGAAAAAATGTTTTTGGACTCAGAAAGAAGAAACAAACGCTACCTATAGACAGCAGAGTCTCTAGAGAATCAGTGATCCAATATCTTGAACTCGACCTCAGAATTTTCTATTCTAACTCAAAAGCATGTTGTCATGCACAGAAGCCTCTGGTTTCACGCGAGAAAGACTGAACGATGCCGTTAGAATAAAAAAACTGTTTCTAATGAAATAGAAACTGGTCAACTTACGTTACCAAACTGTCAGCACGAAGTAGATGACAACCACACCAGTGATAGAAGTGACGGCTGTAACACGATGTAACCAAGCCGAAACTGGAGTCAGAACCTCAAAAGAAGCCGGCTTAACCGCCTAATAGCTTCTCTTCACATACACATGAAATTATGTGACAAAAAGTCCAAAGAAAAACTGGCTCCAATAACTTCGTTGCAGTTTGGTAACAAAAAAAAATTTTTTTTTGCAATCAACCTGAAAGCCCCATCATGACTGGCAACCTTCAGTGCAATCAACGAATGCACTCACTAGAAACTTCTGCGCTTTCTCTTCATTCTTGATATTCAAAAGCAAACCATCTAATAAATTTCCCATCAAATGGAACTAAAAGGTTGAGCCCAAATATCAGATATAAATGTAACAAGGAATCAACAGCAAACTGAGAGTCACAAATCTAACAAAATAAATATCAATTAGCTTAAAAAACTGATGCAATTTTATAAAAAAAACCATAACAGCAAATGAACAACAGAAAGTCATCAATGAACATTCCCAAAAAAAAAAAACAGCTTCAAAGCTGGCAAAAATAAAATTTTTCAAAGAAATAAAACCTGTTATTTAATACAGAAAAGTCCTGATATTAAAACTGTAAAAACTTGGACGGCATCTCAGACTTATGGATTCTGAAACGCTTCTGAAGGTATTTTGTCGCGTACTGCAAGAAAAGCCTGTCCTGCTGTCTAAACCATAAAACTTTTCAAAAAATAAACCGAGGTCATATTACTGACAAGTAAAGTATAAGTCACTTCCAACTTTCTAGAAATCAAAACCTAACTAAAATTTCTAAATAACTTGGTGCATTGCACTTACAGAGTAGTCCCAGTTTTGATCTTCTAAACATTTCCGTGACCACTCGGGTTTCATACTGCTGTCTCTGCAGAACGCTTCAATCATTTGCTGTTGCATATTTACATCTCCAGCAGCAGCCAACTGTTGGGGAGTTGGATTCAACTGTTGCACACCAGCAGACGTTGAAGCAGAATTACTACCAGATCCCCCAGTAACTGCCGGCTCTCTTGCATCAAGATTTGGCGGCATCTGGAAATCGTTTTGATTACCAAAACTATAAATGTAAAATATAAAACAAAATACAGAAAAACAAAAAGCCACTTTTCTGCACCTTTAACAAACCAGATAGTAAAGCTCTATATCGCTGAACGCGTTCGGCAAAAACTCCACTTATAAATAACATATCACTAAGAACAGCGACCTTCCTGGAATTTAAAAACCAACAAGAACTTAGCACTAGTAACGATTTAGATGTTTGACAAGCACTCATGGTTTACAATAAATGAAGGTAGATTAGAATAAAAAAAACAAACTGTTTGAATAAAAGAACTTACCCTTCCCCTTTACATTTGACAACAAAATTACGGCAAAAGAACTTCAGATCCTCTGTAAAGTCCTCCCGTCCGTCTTGAAAGAACCCTTGCAATGCAAAACACATGACTTTATCCTAAAAAACAAATACTACAACCACGCGCTAAAAGACATTACAATAAAGAAGAATAATTACCGTTGCCATAGATATATCTAACATAAATGTTTCAACAAGATGCCTCGTCCGTGGTAATTTACTAAGTTCAACAACTATATCCATCGCACCCTTCTGCAAGATTTTCTCTCTATACCGTTCCCACTTGTCCATATAATTTATATTATGAGAACTACTTCGATAAGTTTTATAATTCCTAAATGTAACGAGGCCGTACTTATTGCGTAGCAAAACAGAAGGTAAGTCATGCAAAATCCGATCACAAACAGGTCCAAAATGCAAACAATGACTAACTCGTAGTATGGCCGTTTATCCCTCGCATCAGGGAGGTTTTCTGCCATCATTGAGAACGAGGCCTAAAAAGAAACCGGATAAAATGGTCTAAATGATAAATGAAAGAACTGGGGTACTAACTACACGTTTAGCCTACTACTGAAAACTGTACTTAAATATATACATTTTGCTCATAAGCGTTTATGAGGTTTTTGCGATTGTTCGGGTCTGCATCGTCGTAAGCAGTTATAAACTCCATGACAAAAGCTTCAATTAACGATCGGCGCTCCTCACTGCCATAATATGAAGGCTAAAAAACAGACTACTGTAAGAAAATCTCGGAAAAACGTCGCAGAGTAATTTACCAACGACCTTCGACGCTGGGATTTTGTACTGGTCATCATCCAAACTCGGCATTCCTAAATCTCCTGTCCTCTGAGTCGGAATACCGTCCTAAAAGATTTCCAAATTCTCCCAAGAAGGAAAACAGAAAAAAAGAAATGAAGCAATATCAAAACGGATAAATAAGGAAAATTGACAGTTCAAAAAATACAGAAAGCATAAAGCTGAAATGCTCACGAGGATTGTAACTTTCGGGAAGACACGATGCACAGCACTGCAATCCCATTACACTTTCATGAAAAAGTGCGAATAGTTTTCCGAAACAAAAAAAAAGCAAACGATGACTAAATTAAAGGGTAACACTCTTCAAGACTGACCCAATAAAATAAGCCTAAAGCACCCATGAAAGCTACCCATTTCTGAAAATAAAGAGTCACCCAAATTACACGTTAAGAATTTTACAATAAACCTCGTATATGCTTCAGCTGACGCATATGTAGTGCAAATCGGATTATTTTCAAAGTAAAACGTGTGCACTGGCCATCCCTTCAGCTTCTCTAGCTCCGCTATGTGATCAATCTAAAAATCTATTAAGACAAGAAGTGTCAGAACCCGTTATCCACAGAAAGAAACTGTTCAACCATACCTGATTAGATGATAAATCAAGAACTTGCAGATTTTTTATACGATAAGTTAGATTTGCAAAGTAGTCCAAAAAACGCAATCTGTTCCCCTAAAAACACAATCAAGTAAGAACAAGAAAAGCAAATGACACCACAAAGAAAAAACGACCTATTGCAATAAATTTGAAAAAAATCATTTCCATTAATGAAGTAATATGACATAGATAATATAACAGAAAAGAAACTCAATTTAACACTCAAGGCGGTCACGTCACCAAAATGTTTGTCGATCAAATCCACTACTGCCATCATGACACTATTGCGAATTAACGATATAATCATACCCTCTGCGCGAAAAGCTAAAAATCACACTTGCATATGAATTAGGATAATTATCTTGAAATGTACGCAGATTCACCTCATAACTAAAGTCCACAAGCCAGAAGGAAAACTAACTCATGATAATATTACTTAGAAGAAAAATTTTTTCATTTTGAGATTACCTGGATCCAAACCAAACTCGCTAAGATCTAGAGAGTGCTCATCAGCTTTATAGCGAGACTGCATAACTTCCTAAAACCACATTTTAGAAAAAGTAGGATATTTTAGCAACATTCATATGTTAAAGCAAAAAAATGCTGCAGGCAACTAACCAAAATCAATCTTTTTTCATTGGCTCCTATGGAAGAAAACCCTGCCGGAACCCGACTGACTAAAAATGAAATAGGCTGATTTGACTGCGGGTGCCTAACACGACGCGAGATGGCTTTAATTGCTTGGGCAGTCTAAAATAGTTACACTTGATTTAGGACTCCAACACCCATAATGGTAAAAACGACTAACAATAAGCGAACTGAAAAAAGGGCACAAAAATGCAGACCTCGTCATCCTCAACGAAAAATACTAAATCGTTTCTTTCAACTTTTAATAATATAGGCTTAAAGTCATCTACATACTGTCCAATCACTTGCAAGATGTAATCTTTGCCAAAAGTTGCACCTCGGGGAACCTAAAATTTTAATTTAGTGTCCGATATAATTTACTACTGCTTTAATTTCAAGCAGGTATAAAATCCCAGTAAAAAAATTAAAGAGCATAATCTCTAGCGACAACCTTAATTAAATTTAAAATAACTCCTGACGCTGCAGATGAGCCTCCTGCACCCCGCTGTAACTGATGATCCCTTCTATTTTCCAAATAATTTCTGATTATAAGCGATTCAGCAGTGCCTAACAACGAGTTGTAAACAATCACTTCTTATATAGCAACGATAGCAACTGATACTAAAAGTCAGGAGCAAAAACAGAATAGCGTTAAGAATGTAAAATTACCTCTGGGACTAATGCGACAACGAACCGAACGTAAATGACGCTGTGGCTGAAACAGTTTGACAATAACTTTAATTAACGAAAAATTTAAAACTGCTTCATGAAAAAAAGGTAATAATAACAGCAAAATAATAATAATAATAATAATAATAATAATAA